CCCAGGAACGTGCGGATTCACGATCAGGTGCCCGTCGCCGCTGCATCGGCGACGTATCGCCGATTCCAGGTCGTCGATTCGAGTCAGTTTTGTGCCATGATCTACAAGGTCAGTCTACACGGGCGCCCAGGATCAGCATCACCACCATCATCAGCATCATCCTTCGCCGGGAAAATCGCTAATCATTTCCGCCAAAACCACCGAATTTAATTATCGCTCGGGAAGTGCAACTTGGGGTACAGGGTTACTTTCTGGTGGGCCTGCACACAGCAGGGATTGTGCCAGCACCGCCGCCGCCCCTGTCAAAAAAAACAGCGCAGAGTGATCGCGGAGCGCCCGCGCATGATTCAGTTTTTGCCGCGAGGTGCATGTTATATAGTTTTTGTTGGACAGGGGTGTTGGCTCTGCGCGCAGCAGACAATCTACACCCTCCCCCCCGCCATCCCCGACCAAATTACCCGATACTTACCCAACCCCTTCCCCACACAAGGCGGTTCTGAAAATGGGGTGCCAGTGACAAACGAACGCATCGAGAGATAGGCAACGTTCTTGCACACTGCCAACAGCCTCGCTTGTAGTCGTGAGGTATCCTCTGGGTGCGCGTGCCCCCCCTGACTCCGCTGGAACCCCCAAGAGCCCACGAACGTAGCGATTGTTGCGCAGTTCGTAGCCACCCAGAAAACAACGAGGTCCCCGCCTGGGTGCGCGCGGCCCCCGACTCCGCTTGACTTCCCACAGGCCCACGAAAGGGCGAGACCCGGACAATTCACAGCCACCTATGGAGCAGCGAGGTCTTGGCTGGATGCGCATGGCCCCTCTCCCCGCTGACATACCAGGAACGCGGCGACAGGTTCACACTTCGCAGCCACCCAAGGAGCAGCGAGGTCCCGTGTGGTTCCGCGTGGCCCCCGACTCCGCTGGACTTCCTTGGATTCCGCGAGTGTGGTGACAGCTGCGCAGTTCGCAGCCGCCCTGGGGGCTGCCATGTTTCATCTGGGCGCGCGCGCCCCCGGGTTCGCTGGACTTCCCAGGAGTCCACGAAAGTGGCGACAACTGCGCAGTTCACAGCCGCCCAAGAAGCAACGAGGTCCCGTCTGGGCTCCCGTGGTCCCCGATTCAGTTGGACCTCCTAGGATTCGCGAGCGTGGCTACAGCTGCGCAGTTCGCATCCACCCAGGGAGCAACAATGTCCCGTCTGGGCCCGCGTGGCCCCCAACTCTTTTGGAGTTCCCAGGAGTCTTCGAAAGTGGCGACGCTTGCGCATTTGGCAGACACCAAGGGGGCAGCGAGGTCCCGCCTGGGTCCGCGTGGCCCCCGACTTTGTTGTAACTTCTGGACTCGCCTCGCCTCGCCTTCCGCCGTGTCGGCCGCGAACGACCAGCGGGCAGGAAGGCGGCACTGCTGTTACGTCATTGACGGATCCAGAACCTGCAAGCACGCCCCCGGCTGCGAGGAGCCAAGGGGCGGCGGCCACTTGGGAAAACCCGGCAGCCCGGCAGATATGGAGGGCAGAACCCACCAAGAAGCCGCCCCCGGACGGTCGGGGGAACCCGCCGCCGGCAGAGTTCAGTGTGGAAGCGCAGACACTTGACAGCGCAGTTTAACAATGTGCTTGCTTTCCTTGCTGTATCTCCCCACGAGCACTTGCAATGGTTGACGCTACTGGTCGCCTCCTGGCGTAGATGAGTCATTTTAAGGTGCCCGCCTCACCCGACTGACCCCAAGAGCGGAGACGAGAGGAAGAGAGGAGGGGAGGAGTGCTACAGGGAGGCGAGGCGAGGGAGGGAAGGGTGGAGGATGGACAGGGAGAGCGGCGGAAGGGAGGGGCACAGCCCAAACACGGCCTACCCCAGGTGGCGAGGCGCAGGGGCACTTGGTCCCAGGTGCGGCCAAGTTCAAGCAACCAGGAGGCCTGTGTACCTTTAAGTGGGGCCTGTCCCTCTACAGGAGGAATCTTCAAAAATAGTAAATCATTAGTCTTTGGACGAAGTTTAGTATTTTGGATTTTTTTGTGTATGTTTGATTGTCTCTGCTGGACCTCCCAGGGAGCCACGACCATGTCGACAGGTGCACAGTTCGCAGCCACTCAGAGAGCAGCGAAGTCCCGTCTGGCCCCTCTCCCCGCTGACATCCCAGGAACGCGGCGACAGGTTCACAGTTCGCGGCCAGCCAAGGAGCAGCGAGGTCCCGTCTGGGTCCGCGTTGCCCCCGACTCCGCTGGACCACGAGGGTGGCGACAGGTGCGCAGTTCGCAGCCGCCACGAAGGTGACGACATGTGCGCAGCTCGCAGCCACCCAGAGGGCAGCGAAGTCCCGTCTGGGTCCGCGTGGCCCCCCGCTTCGCTGGCTCTCCCGAGAGTTCACGAAGGTGGCGACGTTTGTGCAGTTCGCAGCCGCCACGATAGTGTCGACAGTTGCGCAGTTCGCAGCCATCCAGAGGGCAGCGAAGTCCCGTCTGGGTCCGCGTGGCCCCCAGCTTCGCTGGCCCTCCCAGGAGCAGGAGCCCACGATCGTGGCGACAGTTGCGCAGTTCGCAACCATCCAGGGAGCAGCGCAGATGGAGGCAGGAGGAGGGTGGGGAGGAGGAGGAGGAGGAGGAGGAGGAGGAGGAGCCGCAATCGTAGTTTCCACTCAACAAGAGAACCCAACACAGGAGGGTTCGGACAAACAAAAACAATGCAACATGCTCACGGCCCCCCCGAGAATAATCCAAGATTGTCTCCCAAAGTGCAGTTTACATTGTTTTTGACCAGGATGGTGCGGGTCGCCTGGGGGAGGGAGTGGAAGAAGGGGGGATGGAAGAGGCAGCGCCCTAAACCACTCCCGCCCTGAACGGCTGGTGGGATTTTTTTTGCCCCTCCCTCCCCGAGCCAATCTGCCCCCCAGGTTCTCTCTCAAAGAGGGGGGGGAGGGGGGCGGCAGCGGGCAGGGAAAGGAGGGGGGGGGTCGAAGTCTGCTGCACGCCGCCAGTCTCGGCCCCGCCGCCGGGCGCCCTCCTCGATTCGCTTTTGGTTCCTCTGGCGCCGGAGAACCCTGCCGCGTGCGCCGACCCTCCGGGGCCCCCTCGCGGTGTGGTGACCACACCGCGCAGTGAGTCCGTGGGGGCTCGGGGTTCTCACGTGGTTTTTGGTGCTCGGGCAGATCTCTGAGGGTGCCTCGGGCGACCGGGGCCTCCAGGCCCCAAGGGGCCGTGCGGTGACGGACCGCGTGGTGAGGTCGTTGGGGATTCCGATGTCACCACGCGGTCCGTCACCGCACGGTCTTGGGGTTCCAGAGCTCGGGTTGCCATGGTGCTAGCGTGTCTTGAGGGGGGCCCGCCATGGTCGCCTCTGCCTCGTTCTACTCCTCTTCCTCTCCCTTTTCCTCGTCCTTCTTCTCTTCCATTCCCTTTCCTGGTCAAGAGCTCCTCCATGTCGCACCCCGAGGCTGCTCGAAAGGGCGGGCAGGGCATCTCGCCTGATGCCTCTTCACCACTTATGACCCTGAAGCCGAAACATTGACAACACACAGCTGGAGGGCGGGTGGTTTCCAAAACAACATTGCAAGAGTTTCACGGACTGAGGGCGGGTGGGTTTTACAATGTGGCTCTCGCCTTAGCGCCGCGCAATGCCGATGTTTCAAAATAGAAGAGCTTCATACACGAATTGAGAGCGGTTCCTTTTCAGATTGCAGTTCTCCCTTTAGCGCCGTGCAGATTCGTCTTAAAAAATGTAAGGGGTTTCGCGGGTTTTCAAAACTAACTGTCCAAAAAGGGATTCTGGAACGATTCAAGTTTGTCAGGGCGCCTCATTGACGTTGATTCGCGGTTCTGGAACGATGCAGTCCCAGGAACAGCGTTCTGGAACGATGCAGGATCGTCAAGACATATCAGTCAGGTTGATTCGTGGTGTTGAGGTCATGAGAATTGTGTTTTTACTCGCATCCGGATTTTCACACGGTTGTCCCCCAAAGGCGCATTCGTTTCAGTGGAAATGCAATGAGTTTCGAGGGAGGGTGTACTCCAATATCATTGAGGAGTCTTTGGTTTGCACTGGTCACCCCCCCTCCTCCTCCTCTTCCATCCTCTCCTCTGATGGGCCTGTTTTCCACCACAACCACCATACGTTGGAGGGGGAAGGAAGTGGAGGACGAGGAGGAGGAGGAGGACGAAGGGGAGGGGGAGGAGGAGGAGGAGGAGGAGGAGGAGGAGGAGGAGGAGGAGGAGGAGGAGGAGAGGAGGAGGAGGAGGAGGAGGAGAGGAGAGGAGGACACCCGCCCCCTCCAACTTGTGGTGGTGGTGGAAAACAGGCCATCCTCTCCCCCCCCCGACGTCGCATTATCCCCTCCAGGGAGGGCGGATCTCTTGAGCGATCGCCGTGGCAGCTGGGGCTGTCGCCGTCTGCTGCTGCTGCTGCCGCTGCAGCCTGGCCCGCCCTCGCCCCCCCCCCCCCCCCTCACGGCCGGTGCCACCCCCCTCCCCGCCTTCTGGGGTTTTTGTCTTCCCCTCCCTTCCTATAATATATATAATATAGATACAATATACATATATATATATATATATATATATATATATAATATATATATGTGTATTCCTTTGTATCTTCTGGGGTGTGTCTCTGTGTGTTTTTTTCCCCTCCTGGGCCTTCCGTGGCAGAGCCGTCGAGGCCCCAGACACCCAGGGCACCCTGGGGGCAAGCAGGGTGCTTCTTTGGTGGGCCTGTCTTCCACCACCACCACCATGAGTTGGAGGGGTCAAGGAGTTGGAGGATGAGGAGGAGGAAGAGGAGGAGGAAAAACAAGAAGAGGGGGAGGAGGAACCCCTCCCCCCTCCAACTTGTGGTGGTGGTGGTGTTGGTGGTGGCGGTGGAACACAGGCCCATCAAGTGTCACTCCCCCGCCCTCCTCCCCCCGCCACCTCCGCCCTCCTCCGTCACCACACGGACCTTGGGGCCCGCAGGGGCTGAGCTCCCCCCCCCCCCTCAGCGCTCCTGCCCGTGGTCGTTCGGCGCGCCCCGCGGCAGGTGCTGCTAGCGGCCCCCCAGGGCAGGACGCGGTGGTCGAGCGGGGGGGCGGTCTCGGAGTGAGCGCGGCAGTGTCCCAAGCTGCGTTCAGAGGAGCAGCGTTGGGCGGTGAGCGAGGAGGGGAAGTGAGAAGGAGAAGGCCTTCTCAGACGGCGGCGGGGCTTCGCAGGAGCCCTCGCGCCTTCTGAGAAGTTTTCTGTGTCTTCGGGCCTTCGGTGTCATCTTTGTGCCCCCTTAGAAAGTTTCCCAGAAGGCCAGGGGACTTCGGAGCCTTCTCGAAAGGCCCTCCCCTTCTCTCTTCCCGCACAGGCTCGCCGCGGAGTCTCCCAAGCTGCGTTGACAGGAGCAGGTTGTCATGACAATGATACGTTCCAGGATTGCCAGGATGTCCAGGATTTGAAACTCCCTGGAATGTTCCACACGGGCTGCACAAACGGGATCAGCCAGATGCTCTGGAAATCCTGGAGCGTATCGTGAGCCAGTCCTATCACGACATCATTCTCGCCCTGTTTGAGTCGTTCCAAAGAGGGCCCCGCCGCCGAGGATCGAAGGAGTTGTCAGTTCTTCCTCGGCGGAAGGCGGCGGTATGGCGGCGGAATGTCGGCGGAAGTACAACGAGGTCGCTTCCGCCGGCGGAAGGGCAGCGGAAGGGCGGTGGAGGGTGAAGGAAGTACAAGCTGCGTCCCCGAGAGATGACCACATTTTTGGGTTCAGGGTTTCCGGAAACCGTCATGTTTGCTACAGTGTATGTCCATGCCAAGAACACCTTGCTTGCCTCCAGGGTGCCTTAGGTTTTTTAGGTTTCGATGGTTTTGCCATGGAAAGATTGACGTCGCCACACCAAAAATCAGCGGACGTCCTGGGAACTCAAGGTTGGGTTCCTCTTGGAAGATTTCTTGTGGTCGGGCCCCTACTGTAGGGGGGAGCGCTCGACGTGGGCGCGGTTCCCGCGGGCAGGACGCGGTGGTCGCAGGCATCCGCGGGATTCTGTGGGTACTCGCCACGGGGGAAGCTGGTCCTGAGGGATACGGTTCCTGTGGCGTTTCCCCGTTTTCGGGCTCTCGGGGCCTTGCCACGGGCCCCAGGACTCCCAGACAGCGGTCCAGAATGAGAAGCTCGTCCTGGGGGGGAGGCTCCAGGGTGCAGGACCCATTTCCCTCAGGACCCGCTTCCCCATGCTGAGGGTTCGAGGATCGAATGACCGTCGGGCTTGCACATCAACATCTGCTGTCGGGCATCGGCGCATCTTTTGCGCACCCCTTGTGGGCGTGCCAGTACCAGCTTGAAGCACTTCGGTTCCCCAAGACTGGCTTCGCCTTCCCTCGGTGCCGATTCCCAACATTCCTCCCCCGGTAAGGAATACCTCGGGAGTGCGGGATACCAGCTGTGGGAGGCGGAGGAGGAAGAGGAGGAAGAGGAGGAGGAGGACGAGGAGGAGGAGGAGGAGGAGGGGGAGGAGGAGTAGGGAGGAGGAGGAGGAGGAGGAGGAGGGGGAGGAGGAGGAGGAGGAGGAGGAGGAGGAGTAGGAGGAGGACCAGTGTAAACCCAAGAGTCGCCAACGATGTTGGAGTAAACCCTCCCTCCAAGCCCTCACTTCATAGGCCCCTACAGCGGTTCATTTCCATTGATTGAATTGCCTCGTTGGAAGGCACCCGTTTGAAGACCCTGACGCATGCCAAAACATTGTTCTCGGGATTCCAACGCCTTGGATCAACCTGATTGTTGCGTCTTGACGATCATGAATCGTGCCAGAGCACCGTTCTTAGGATCTCAACACAGAGAATCAACGTAACTGTTGCACCCGCGTAATCTGGAACCCTTCCAAGACACTATTCCTGGTAAGTTGATGATGGGAATCCGTGACACGATTGATTGGTTGTCAAACAATAGCGCGCCGCGCTACGGCGAGAGCCACATGTTGAAAAGGCACCGCCCTGAGTCCATTAAGTTCTTGCATTTGTGTGGAGCGGATGTGCGCCGCGCTATGGCGAGAGCCACATTTTGAAAACGACTCGTTCTCAATCCGCGAAGCTCGTGCACCTTGTTAAAACTAATGTGCGCCACGCTAAGGCGAGAGCCACATTTGTTCAACCACTCTTGACCGATCCCTGAACATCTTGCACTTTGTTTAACCCGAATGTGCGCCGCGCTAAGGCGAGAGCCACATTGTGAAAACGACCCACCCGCAATCCGTGACACTCTTGCAACTGTTTAAAACGAATGCGCGCCTCGCTAAGGCGAGGGCCACATGTTGAAAACCACCCGCCCTCCATATGTGAAGCTGTTGCCATGTTTAAGCTTGAGGGTCGTAAGTGCTGACGAGGTCTCGGGTGAAACGCCCCGCCCGCCCTAAAAACTTGCCTCGGGGTGCGACAGGGAGAAGTTACTAATCAGGCAAATCAATGGAGGAGGAGGAGCAGGAGGAGGAGGAGGCGGAAGAGGAGGAGGAGGAGGAGGTGTAGGAAGAGGAGGAGGAGGAGGAGGAGAGGAGGAGGAGGGA